CACTTGCACCCTCCCATCCCTAAACCAGGAAGAAGTTGAAACCTTGAACAGACCAATAACAAGGCCTGAAGTTGAGGCAACAATGAATAGCCTACCAACCAAAAAAAGTCCAGGTCCAGATGGTTCACAGCTGAAAATGCCAGATGTACAAAGAGGAGCAGGTACCATTCATTCTGAAACTATTCTAAAAAATATAAAAAGAGGGAATCTTCCCCAACTCATTTTATGAGACCACTATCATTCTGACACCAAAACTCGGTAGACTCAACAATAAAAGAAAACTTCAGGCCAGTATCCATGACGAACATAGATCCAAAAATCTTAAATAAAATACTGGCAAACTGATTGCAACAGCACATCAAAAAGCTTATCCATCACAATCAAGTATGCTTCATCCCAGGTATGAAAGGCTGGTTCAACATACGCAAGTCTATAAACGTAATACAGCACATAAATAGAACCAAAGACAAAAACCACATGATTATCTCAATTGATGCAGAGAAGGCCTTTGACAAAATTCAACAGCCCTTTATTCTAAAAATTCTCAATAAACTAGGTATTGATGGAACATATCACAAAATAATAAAAGCTATTTACAACAAACCCACTGCCAATATCATACTGACCGGGCAAAAACTGGAAGCATTTGCTTTGAAATCTGGCACTAGACAATGATTCCCTCTCTTACCACTCTTATTCAATTTAGTATTGGAAGTTCTAGTCAGGGCAATCAGGCAAAAAAAAAAATGAAATAAAGCGCATTCAGTTAGGAAAGGAGGAAGTCAAATTGTCTCTATTTGCAGACGACATGATTGTATATTTAGAAAACCCCCTTGTCTCAGCCCAAAATCTTCTAAAGCTGATAAGCAACTTCAACAAAGTCTCAGGATACAAAATCAATGTGCAGAAAGCACAAGCATTCCTATACACCAATAACAGACTAACAGAGAGCAAAATCAAGAGCAAACTCCCATTCACAATTGCTACAGGAGAATAAAATACCTAGGAATACAACTAACAAAGGAAATAAAGGACCTCTTGTTCACGGAGAACTACAAACCACAGCCCAAGGAAATAAGACATAAACAGATGGAAAAACATTCCATGCTCATGGTTAGGAAGAATCAATATTGTGAAAATGGCCATACTGCCCAAAGTAATTTATACATTCAATGCTATCCCCATCAAACTATCAATGATTTTCTTCACAGAACTGGAGAAAAACACTTTAAACTTCATATGGAACCAAAAAAGAGCCTGCATAGCCAAGACAATCCTAAGCAAACAGAACAAAGCTAGAGGCATCACGCTGCTGGACTTCAAACTATACTACAAGGCAACAGTAATCAAAACAGCATGATACTGGTACCAAATCAGAGACACAGACCAAGGGAACACAATAGAGGCCTCAAGAACAACACCACATACCTACAACCATCTAATCTTTGACAAACCTGACAAAAACAAGCAATGGGGAAAGGATACCCTGTTTAATAAAAGGTGTTGGGAAAATTGGCTAGCAATGTGCCCCAAGCAGAAACTGGACCCCTTCCTGACATCTTACACTAAAATTAACTCCAGATGGATTAAGGACTTAAATATAAGACCTAACACCATAAAAACCCTATAAGAAAACCTAGGCGAAACCCTCCAGGATATATGCATAGGCAAGGACTTCATGACTAAAACACCAAAAGCAATGGCAACAAAAGCCAAAATAGACAAATGGGATCTAATTAAACTTCGGAGCTTCTATACAGCAAGAAACAATCATTAGAGCGAACTGGCAACCAACAGAATGGGAAAAATTTTTTGCAATCTACTCATTTGATAAAGGGCTAATATCCAGAATCTACAAAGAACTAAAACAGATTTACGAGAAAAAAACAAACCCATCCAAAAGTGGACAAAGGATATGAACAGACACTTTTCAAAAGAAGACATATATGAAGCCAACAAACATGAAAAAATGCTCATCATCACTGGTCATTAGAGAAATGCAAATCAAAATCACATTGAAGATATCATCTCACGCCAGTTAGAATGGCAATCGTTAAAAAATCTGGAGACAACAGATGCTGGAGAGGATGTGGAGAAATAAGAACACTTTACACTGTTGGTGGGAGTGTAAATTAGTTCAACCATTGTGCAAGACAACTCTGTGGCGATTCCTTGAGGATCTAGATACAGAAATTCCATTTGACCTAGCAATCCCATTATTGGGTATGTACCCAAAGGATTATAAATCATTCTATTATAAGACACATGTACACGTATGTTCATCATAGCACTGTTTACAGTAGCAAAGACCTAGAACCAACCCAAATGCCCATCAATGATAGACTGGACAAAGAAAATGTGGCACATATACACCATGGAATACTATGCAGATGTCAAAAACAATGAGTTCGTGTCCTTTGCAGGGACATGGATGAACCTAGAAACCATCATGCTCAGCAAACTGACACAAGAACAGAAAATCAAACACCACATGTTCTCACTCATAGGCAGGTATTGTACAATGGGAACACGTGGACATGGAGAGGGGAGCATCACACACTGGGGTCCATTTCGGGGAGAATAGGAGAGGGACAATGCGGGGGAGGGTGGGGAGGGATAACGTGGGGAGAAATGTCAGGTATAGGTGATGGGGGGATGGAGGCAGCAAAGCACATTGCCATGAATGTACCTATGCAACAATCTTGCTTGATCTGCACATGTACCCAAGAATCTAAAGTAAAATTTAAAAAAAAATGCTACTTAAAAAAAAAAAGAAATCTGAAGTTACATTTTATCATTTTGTCTCCTCTCATTACAGTTCTACTCCATCTACTCAGTCACTGAGAACTGTTCATTCCTGCCTACAATACTTTTCCCCATTCCATTCGTGGATTTACAGTTATGATTACCCCTAAGATTCATAATTGGAATCAATGCCTTGTGTCTTCTCCCATTATTACTCTACATGAAACTCTTTCATTATGCTTTTCTCTCCCTTTTTTTTTAAGACACAGGGCCTTGCTTTGTCAACCAGGCAGGTGGGCTGTGTTGTGAACATAACTCACTGCAGCCTAGAACTCCTGCACTCAAGAAATCCTCTAGCCTCAGCTTCTCTCAGCTGAGATTATTACGTGTGTGCCACCATGCCCAACTAATCATTATGCTTCTCTTTGACTCTAGAAACTCAAGTTGCTTTCTTTTGCCTATCACTATCACCTAAGACAAACTTAAAAGGGCAGTTTTTCATACATTCTCCAATTATATCAGTTCCAAATTCCGAATTCCCTTTTAAGATAAAAACTCTTTAAAAATCAGAAACACGGCTGGGTGTGGTGGTTTACACCAGTAACCCCTGCACTTTGGAAGCCAAGGTGGGTGGATCATCTGAGGTCAGGAGTTTGAGACCAGCCTGGCCAACATGATGAAACACTATCTCTAATAAAAATATAAAAATTAGCTGGGTGGCAAGTGCCTGTATCCTTACCAGCTGCTCAGGAGGCTGAGGCTGGAGAATCTCTTGAACCCAGGAGGCAGAGGTTGCAGTGAGCTGAGATCACGCCACTTGCACTCCAGTCTGGGCAACAAGAGCAAAACTCCATCTCAAAAAAAAAAAAAAAAAAAAAAAAAAAAAAAAAAAAATCAGAACTATAAACCATTAGTAAAGACTATAACATTAACTGACGGCATGCCAAGTTTCTTTTAGGAGTTTAGTAAACATTTGTAATGACGATTATGATGCTAAAGGTCATTATTTGCATGCAGCGGTTTCCTTTCTCAAACTAACTTAACCTCAGCATTTTCGGTTTCACTGGATTTAAAGCGGAAGTGAGTCTTCATGACAAGGCCACCTCTCTTTTCTGCATAGTGGGGTTTAAATAACTTGATGGCTTTCCAGGTGGCAAGTCTCAGCTAATGGGCTCTGGAGAACCCAGCCTATGAGTTCATTTATGGAGTTCTTTGGCATCCTTGTACTGTGAAGAGCTGTAAGGCCTCAAAGGGTAAAAAGGGTGAGTTGAGAAGGTGTCACAGAGCACAAAGGTGGTCCCCACAAAGGTCACAATTACACAGCTGTGAATAGGCTACATGCTGCATCCTTCATAGCATCTGCCACAAAATAAAGGCTCAATATTTTCCCTTATATTTGCTTTAAAAATCATTACCATTACCTAAATGAACATTATTACCTACATGGATTTTAAAAACTGCACATGTAACCAATGTCTAAAAATTGGGTCACATGAAACGTATAACCTTGAAACTGAGAAGAATTTCCTCATAGACTTCATGACAATATACCAACCACTTAATGTATATCAGGGGCTGAGGGGAACAGAGAACCTAATTAATCACGATGACCTAATAAATGAGGTAACACCACTAAAGCAAGAGGCGGTCCTTCAGCCTCAGTTCCATTTCCCTCCCCCGACATCATGCTCCTCCTTAAGACACATCATTTGATCTGAAGAGTTGAGGTGGGTATTCATTTAGAATGAATAATCAAACATGCCTCCCAGTTCCCAAAATCTACAAAGTACCGTAGGCCTCTAGAAGATCAATGTTGCTCACAGGAGAATGAAGCAAATTACTCTCATCCAAGGCGACTACCTCCACGAATTTTGAAAGGGTTATGCAGAATCCAGGTATTAAAATAAAAACCGTAACTTCAAAGTACTACAGTTAATGTTTCAATCAACAAAAGTGGGCAGAGAAAAACATGACAAATGTAAAAACCCACCACTTCAGAGGCGTATGCTTTAGTACTAGGAGAGTCTCCGCATGGGAAGAAAACATCACCTTGTCAGTGACTCACTTCTGATAAGCATGTGGAAATGTAAGCCAGTCCGCTCGAAAAAATGCACGCCAGGGGAACGACACGCGGTTACCGGCTGTGTCCTGACAGCCGAGGCCGTTAAACGACCAGAAGAGCGGCATGTCCGAATCACGCCTTCCCACCTCTCCCCGCCCCGCCCCGCTTCCGGGGCTCCAGTTCACCCGCAGCACCCAGACGGCAGGTGCCAAGTCACCACTGCAAAGAAACTTCCTCTTCCCGAGCGGGGAGGGGCCTGGCCCGGTGCCGACGCCCTCGGCCGGTGGGCTCGGACGTTAGGAGCAGAACCCGCTCCAGGTCCCGCTGTGTCCGGGCGTCGGTGCCCTCCGGGGCTCGGGCCGACGCACCCAGTCCCGGGCCGACCAGGCGCCGCGGCCCACCTGCCCCGGTACCCGCCGTGGGACCCCGTTGCCCTGCACCTGAGGATGTTGTCAGCATAGGTGAGCAGCAGCTTGGAGGCCTCCAGAAAGGTCTCCGGAGTGTTCTGACAGAGCTCGGCCACGGCCGGGGACGCCGAGCCCGAGGAGCTGCCGAGCGCCGCCGCCGCCATGCTTGAGCGCCAGCGGCCGGCACCGCCCCCCGCGCTCGCGTCCCACACTGAGCAGGCGCCTCGGCGCGCGGCGGCTACCGCAGCCACCGGCGGGGGCGGAGTCCTGGGCCGGGAGCCGGGAGCTCGGCGGGGTGCGGCCGCGGCCCCTTGGGGAGGAGCGAGGGGCTGATCAGAAGGGGTGGGGGCCTCGGGCGGCAGGGGCGGGGGCTTCGACCCGAGGTGGGTGCGCCGTCGGACAGGTTGGGGAGGGGTTCCGCAAGGAGGGGCGGGGCCTGGGCGCCGGAACTGAGGGGCGTGGCCGGGAGGAGGGCGTTTCCGTCCTCGGGACCCAAGAGCTCGGCTGGACGGGAGGCAGGCTTCTGTCTAAAGGCACCGGGCGAGTGGTGCTGGCACGGTCCTCTCGGAAACCCGGATCCCTCTGCGCCCTGGGCCAGCCGACCTGATCCAGCTACTAAAGCGGAGAAACCGCATGTACCTCCCTCCTTTCCCTACAAGTAAAACGACCTTAAAGCCATCTCCTTCGCTGGTTGTCAGGCCGTTCTACACAGATGGGGATGAAAGATCCCAGAAGAAAGGAGCAACAGACATCAAAAACAAAACCGTGGCTATAAACTGGGCTGGGTTTGTTACATGAATTCTTTTCAGAATTTTGAGAATGTCTGAAAATCAAAGTGCCAGCTCAACTTGTATATGATTCCTCTGTTTCGCTCTTGTTGCCCAGGCTGGTCTGCAATGGCTTCGGCTCACCGCAACCTCCGCCTCCTGGGTTCAGGTAATTCTCCTGCCTCAGCCTCCTGAGTAGCTGGGATTACAGGCACACGCCACCATGCCCAGCTAATTTTTTGTATTTTTAGTAGAGACGGGGTTTCACCATGTTGACCAGGATGGTCTCGATCTCTTGACCTCGTGATCCACCCGCCTCGGCCTCCCAAAGTGGTGGGATTACAGGCGTGAGCCACCGCGCCCGGCCCAAGAAGTATTTTTAAACCATACATTGCAACATAATAATGGGTTGTGGATTCCGTTTACACCATAGCGACCAGGGTAAAACATATGCATAATAGAATGTCGTGGGCGGGGAGGGAAGAGAATAAAAATTTGCATCCCACAGAGTAAGGGTAACTATTATTTTGTGACTTGTTTTTTAGGTAGATCCTAGGTGTTTTATTCCTCTTAGAAGATGCATCTCTAATTACTTTAATCCAGTCTCTGCCCCACCATGTCCTTGAAAGTGTGCTTTACCACTGGCTTCTTTCTTTGCAGAAATTCCTTCTCAACCTCAACAAATATTTTTCTTGAACTTATTTCTTAAGAAGTGATTTGCGCTGGGTGCAGTGGCTCAGGCCTATAATTCCAGCACTTTGAGAGGCCGAGGCGGGCGGCTCAGGAGGTCAGGAGATCCAGACCATCCCGGCCAACATGGTGAAACCCTGTCTCTACTAAAAATACAAAAATTAGCTGGGCGTGGTTGCGTGTGCCTGTAATCCCGGCTACTTGGGAGGCTGAGGCAGGAGAAATGCTTGAACCAAGGAGTCTGAAGTTGCTGTGAGCCGAGACGGCACCATGACACTGCAGCCTGGCGACAAAGTGAGACTCCGTCTCACAAAAAAAGAAAAAAAAGATAAGTGGTTTTCCTTGTAGGGCACGTTGGGAGCCAGATGTAGGACTGAGTGCCCCACAGGCTCGTGGGGTGAGCCTTATGCTGTGCTGAGGCGCAGGATCTGAGAAATAAAGAGACAGGACACAGAAGTACAAAGAAAATGCAGCTGGGCTCTGGCGGGCGGGGGGCATGCCACCTATAAGTGGAGTCAGGCAAGGCCGGTGAGGCAAGGCTGGCGAGAGGCTGGCGAGGCCCCAAATGTCCAGAAGCATGAGTATTTATTGTGTATAGGTTAGGGGGTAGGGCAGTGAGTGAAATGATCTTTAAGGATAGTGATAGGGTCGTGAGCAATAAAACATAGGGTCCACCCCCATTAGGTCACCTAGGCCAGGAGGTGGACAGCGTGCAGCAAGGGGCCCGTTCCCATGAAGGCAAGGGCCGTGTGCAGTAAGGGGTCCACCCCCATTAGGTCACCGAGGCATGGAGGTGGGCCGTGTGCAGTGAAGAGGGTGCCGTGTGCAATACTTCTATCTATGGGAAAACTACTTCTAAGAAGATTTATGGAAGGATGCTTTAAGTCACATAGCAGTGACAGAGCTGTCAAGGTTACCACCACCTTCTGGCAGCTTCCAGTGGATTCTGTGGAAAGATGCTTTTCAAGCAGCACAGTAGGAAGAGCTGATAAAGTTCACAGTCACCAAGGTGGATTGCCGTTCTGAGGGCAGCCTTCCACAAGAACTGGAGCAAGGTCCTACAACTCCTTTATCAGGAGGAGTGGCTCTCGCTCCAAGCCTACCAGACAGCGGGTATCTTTACAATACTGAGTGCTGCTGCCTGGGCCATGGATTCTTGTTCTGGTGTAACTGTTTTGCCCTTAATTCATGCTCTGCACCATGTCTGCTCTAGGCATTTCTCCGATTATAAACTAAGATATAATTATAGGTATATATGTAGGGAAATATTCTTCAGGTACTCATACTATCAACTATTAATATTATATATAGAGGTTTATATAAAGGGAGCCTTCAAGCCCTATTTCTATAAACTAATACATGATTATATAAAGGATATATAAAAGGAAATACCTGAGTAGTAACACTGTAAAGTGAGATATTCCTCAAGCCCTAACTGTGCCAGGGTTCTGCTTAGCTCTCATTCCTAGGTGCCTATATGGGGGGTTACCCACATTTCCTGAATAATCTCTTTTAAATTTCTTGATGTTTCATTTGTTTGCTTTTAATACTTGAAATTTTTTTTCCAGAATCTCCAAGCAAGACCCTAAACCATGCCATCCACTTCAATGACTATTTGTCTGCCAGATAGACATACAATTTTTAATAAATATGTAGCTCTTTGGACCAGCTTCCAAGAATATTGTGTTCAACAGATAGATAGTAGTATGTTGCTGGCTTCTACAACTAAAATTTTCAGTGGCTTAACACAAGAGTAATTTCTTTCTGGCTCATATAACTGTTTAATAATGCAGGTGTCATAATGTCAGTGGACCCAATCTCCTTCCATCCCATAGAACAGGGGCCAAAAACATTTTCTGTAAAGGGCCACATAGTAAATGTTTTAGGCTTTATGAGCCGTAGGGTCTGTCTCAACTATTTAACTCTGCTTCTGCAGTTGTAGCTCCACAGTCAATACTTGAAATAAATGGGCATGGCTATGGTCTAGTGAAATTTTATTTACAAATCCAGATAGCCTGCTGGATTTGGTCTGCAGGCTGTAGTTTACTAATTCCTGCTATAGAGCCTCAGAGACTTCTGCAATTAGTTAATGCACAAGTGGACACACACACAAAAACAGTCACACCTACTTTTAATCTCATGAGCCTAGAAATAAAAATGACATACAGCATTTTCTCTACCATATCATTTCTAAGAATGAGGCCTCATCAAGATAAAAGGGGGCATTTCAGTAAGGCCAGATTTACAAAAAATAAAATAAAAAACAAATACATAAAAAGGTAAAAACGGAGAGTCTGGGAAATCTAGTCTCCTTCAACTGCACAATGTACTGGGGGCTTGGGTCTAGGAGTATAGCTATCACAAACTTTATTCCTCTTCATTTGGGTTTCTTTTTTCCATTGATACATTGATTTATCCTGTACTAATTATATGAGAATATTATATATTATACAGTATTTGTGACTTTTTAAAAAAAGCAACATAACTCTTTTTTTTAAATAAAATTTTAGGGGTTGGACATGGTGGCTCATGCCTGTAATCCCAATAATTTGGGAGGTCGAGGTATGTGGATCACTTGAGCCCAGGAGTTTCAGACTAGCTTGGGCAACATGGCAAGACCCTGTCTCTACCCCCACCCCCCAAAAAAAATCATAGATTGTTTATACAAAAAACACCAAAACGGAAATGCTCTGGTGTTAATGCAGAGGTGTCAAGTGAAGGGTAGAAAGCTGTCAGCTCAGGCTTCCCTTTGACAGACAGAATGGCCATAGGGTACTTTTGTGGGGCAACAAAATGACTTTTTTCTCTTCACAATAACTTGTTTCCTCAACTAAAACATCCTCTCTCTGTAAGTTGTCATTAGTTTTATCTTCCCTATTAGATTAAAGGTCTCTTGTGCCATCTGTCTCAGACTGCTTTGTATACAGCGGGTACTGAATAGTTGTTGGTTAATCACTTAATATAATCACATAATAGTGAATCACTATACAAATTCCTGAATGACTTCAACCCCTCCCCTTGCTAATGGTTTTTATGGAGGCTAATTTTTTAATATAACCAAATCAATCCTGGGAAAAATTTAGAGGGTTCTTTCTTTTTTCTATTTTTTTTTCTTTTTTTTTTGAGAGAGTTTCACTCTTGTTACCCAGGCTGGAGTGCAATGGCGTGATCTCGGCTCACCACAACCTCCACCTCCTGGGTTCAAGCAATTCTCCTGCCTCAGCCTCCCGAGTAGCTGGGACTATAGGCATGCGCCACCATGCCCAGCTAATTTTTCTATTTTTAGTAGAGAGGGGGTTTCAACTTGTTGACCAGGATGATCTCAATCTCTTGACCTCATGACCCATCCAACTCAGCCTCCCAGAGTGCTGGGATTATAGGCGTGTCTTTTTTCTATTTTATTAAAGAATGGTGTTAGCCAGGCATGGTAGTGCACGCCTGTAGTCCCAGCTACTTGGGAGGCTGAGAGGCAGGAGAAGCGCTTGAACCCAGAAGGCAGAGTTTGCAGTGAGCTGAAATTGCGCCACTGTACTCCAGTCTGCGCGACAGAGTGGTACTCTAGCTCAAAAAAAAAAAAAAAAGAAAAAAGAAAAAAGAAGAATAGTGCTATGATATGTCAACTCTAAAAATGATGTTTTTAATAAAGGTGAAATCCTGGAAACAAATATTTTGGAACAAAAAAAAAAATCAAAGAACAAGAATTTCAATGCTGATTTAGTATTAGACCATTCTTCAGTTGTTTGAAACAATGATTGGTATAAAGAAAGTTAGGGCAGCTTATTCAGCTTTTCTAAAGGAAACTGAAGAATTAGAATATCTCTAACTTGACTGAAGTGGAGGAAGCAGCCAGGAAAATGAGACAAAATCCCTTATAATGGATTCCCTTCATAGTGTTATAAATGGTGGTATTCAGAAGAGATTATAGTTACTCAAGAACTTTAACAGAAGTGTTGCTAAAGAGTTATTTGGAAGGACTTAAATTTCAGATGATTTTTAAATTTTATTTATTTTTAAAAGAGACGGGGTTTCATCATATTGGTCAGGCTGGTCTTGAACACCTGACTTTGTGATCCACCTGTCTCAGCCTCCCAAAGTGCTGGGATTACAGGCGTGAACCACTGCGCCTGGCCCTTAGATGATTTTTTTAAAATAGTGATTTCTAAGATTTTTGGACTATACATTGTTATCACAGTATTAATGCTATGGCATTAGTTTTGACAAAAGTCATTTGGTAAGAAATGCACAAAAAGTGCATGTGTACTATCAAATGTAAGGATAAATGTTGATTTATTCATTCCATAATTCATTCATCCGTTGTATATTTATGAAGTGACTACTAGATGCCAAGCAGTGTGAAGGAGACAACTATGGTCCCTACTCTCATGGAAGTCATAGTAAGTTTAGAGCAGTGGTTGGACAAACAGCAGCATCACCAGGAAACTTGTCAGGGAAACAAATTCTGAAGCTCCATCTTTAAAGGTGGGGCCCAGCAACCTGCGTGGTAACAAGCACTTCAGGTGATTTTGACTCACAGTAAACTTTGAGACCTACTAGTTTAGAGGGAGGAAAATTTCACTGTGGGCTGCAGTGTCAGTGAGGAGGGGAGATTTGAACAGAAGCCTTAAACTGAGAGGTTAAGAAGGTGGTAAAGGAGAGGACTTGCTGGCTGTGAGAGACTCCCCACCCTCCTTAAATCATGTACAACATCCTAGTTATGTTTCCTTCTCAACATCTCACCATTGCCTTCAGAACCTCATCACGTTTCATCTATTCTTAGCTTTCTTCCCTGTGTCCCTTTCCACATCCTTCCAACCCACCCTGTTCTTTTGTGCAATAGTGATCTTTCTAAAGCACCCATTTGATCATGTTGGTCTCCTGGTAAAAAGGTTTCTATGGCCCCCCTCTACCCACATTCTAAGTTAAGAACCAGGCTGGTAACTTAAACTTTTAAGTGACTTTGTTCAAGATGAAAAGGAGTAATAGAGACTCTGGTGAAGGGAATGAGAGAGTTTACCATGTCCTTTCTAAAGGAGTTTAGATTCAATAAAATAATGTTCATTGACACCTGTAATCCCAGCACTTTGGGAGGCCGAGGCAGGCGGATCATGAGGTCAGGAGATTGAGACCATCCTGGCAAACATGGTAAAACTCTGTCTCTACTAAAAATACAAAAATTAGCTGGGCGTGGTGGCACACGCCTGTAGTCCCAGCTACTTTATATATTTGGTACGTTTCCTGCTATAATACCAGTGGTATTATAGCAGGCTGAGGCAGGAGAATCACTTGAACCCAGGAGGTAGAGGTTGCAATGAGCTGAGATCGCACCACTGCACTCTAGCCTGGCAAGACAGAGACACTTCTGTCTCAAAACAAACAAACAAACAAACAAAAACAACCACCACCAACAAAAATGAATGGTGCACTTCAAATTATACCCTGGAGGCCAGCATATGCTGTCTGAACTACAGGATTAAATCTAAAGTCCTCAGTATGGCACCCCAGGCTTTTGTGATCCGGCCCCTGCCTTGCTCTCATGCTTTTACTGTTGCTTTGTCCCATACCTCAAACATGATGTTGGCCACATTCTTAACAGTTTTGGAAGATACCATGGCACTTCATTCTCCAGGCCTTTGTTATACTCCTCCTGCCAGGATGCCCTTTCCCACCCAATTTACTGGACAAACATTCATTTCCAAGATGCAGTTCAGGGATCATTCCTCTGAAGCTTTTTCTGACTTCACTAGGTAGCACAGACCTCACTGTCCCTTTTGTGTTATAATAATTCTATTATAGCACCTGTTTCAATAGTTTGTACTTGTTTCTATGGCTGTCTGCCTTTACTAGACAATGAACTTCTTGAAAGCAGGAGCCATACCTCTACTCATTTTTGCATTCTAGCATAGAGAGGAGGAAAATGAATGGTTGTTGAAAATAGGAAAGTACAGAGATGAGAAAAGTTAGGGTCAATCAAGACATAGTGTAGTGAGAAAATCAGTTTACTGGGTGGAAAGCACATTTAATAGAGAATGGGAGCCTTAACTAGAAAGATAGTTTTGAATCGGATTACAAAGAATTTAAGGCAAACCTAAGAAGTCTTAACAGAAGGGTAGGATAAGCAGAGCCCATTTGAAGATTTTGGTGCAAGGAAATACAATGGTATTATAGCAGGAAACATGGTACCAAATATATAAAGCTATAAAATATCATAAAATTTCCCACCCTTTCCACAGCAAAGAAAAGGTGATAAAAGGTAGGTATAAAAATGATGGTCTTTTTACTTTTAGTCTTTGTACTTTTCTGCAAGATTTAATTTGTCACTTCTTATCCAAGATGATTTTGTGATGTTACAAAAGAAAAACAAAAAAGGACATTAAAACTGTATGTTCGCCAGGCACAGTGGCTCACAGCTGTAACTCCAGCACTTTGGGAAGCTGTGTCTCTAATCTGGTGATATTTTTTTTTTTTTTTTTGATTGGAAGCAAGTTTGTTAGGAAAGTAGAGGAACAAAGAATAGCTACTCCATAGGCAGAACAGCCTGGTGACAACTTTTAAGAAGTAAAAACTTTATTACAAAAACATTTGTTTATTGTAGAAAAGGTATTAAATAAAGCTAAGCAAAAATGAGGGAGATCACAATCATTACACATCTTGCAGACCTTTAAATAATTATTTTTGAAAAAAACAGATAGGTATTGTTTTGTAACTATGTCTCCTAACAAACAGTCTCAACATCTCATTAATAGTCACCTGTAGAGTTATTTTAAACGGCTGCATGGCATTCGGAGATAGACAACCAATTTCCTGATGTTGGCTATTTTGGTTAGTTCTGCTTTACTCACAATTACTAATAATTCTGCGAGCTACAGCAATAACTCTGGGACGGCAGTACTTTCCTTTCTTAGAATTCCAGTAGGGTACAATGGGGTTCTCTGACAACATGGGAATATTTGGGCATTATCACTGCCAAAGAAAAATGCCTTTTTGATGGGTGAAAATGCTATTTCATCGGGTTATGTGCAGGTCCTTGATTATCGGCGAGTCACTGAAGTTCCGAGAGAGGTGTCTCTTGAGGCACACAGGTCCCCCGTCGCCTCCCACGGTCTGACCTCCACCACGGGGACGCCGCTCAAAGTCAACAGGCGGGAGTCGAACGTGACCCGTGCGAGGGAGCGCGCATGCGCGTACGTGCGTGCGCGCCTGCGCGTGTGCTCCGCAGCGTCATCGCCCAGGACGGTGGCGGCGCGTCCTGCGCGATCCCTGTGACAGGTATCGCTCGCTACCTTCCTCCTTCTCCCCTCCTTTCCTCCTTTAAAATCACATCAAGTCGGGGTTGAATTTCGAGAGGGGAGTCCGAGGACCCGGGGCTTGATTTTTCTCTCTCCATGCTGCTTCGGGTGCGTCCGTGTGCGGCGGTGCCTGAGAGGCGGCGCAGGGAATGGCTGCACCGTTCTAGTCCCGCCTTTGGCCTTCGTAGCACCCTTGAAATGATCAGCCAGTCCTAACCACTACTTCCATAGATGATTCAATTGGAGAAGTTTAGAGGAGTGGAAAGACTTGTCCCCTTCCCCCAGTCGCAAGCTTGGTCACAGAGTCGATTGCCAAATCATGTATCCGGACGACCAGTCTAGGGCTCTTAGCACTGGGTGGCCTTTTGAAAGGGTGGTTATCCTTAAGTATTGAAGATTGATAAAGCCACTTACCTACTTAAAAGAATATGCCCTGAAATGTGTTTTCTGTGCCACTGACACCAGAAATGCTATTTAGAAGTTATCCTGAGAAAGGATGCTTCCTGCAGCTCATATCAGGCTAGAGGTGCCTTTATATTTTTCATTGAATTACTCTGTTTTGGTGAATCGAATGAATCGTCACTTCATTTCTTTGTCTTCAAATGTCAGAGGGCACTTAAAATCTTAAAAAGGAGATAAGTTTAAACAGGTGGTTTGATGATAAGGTATAAATTAAAATTATGGAACATCTTCCCTGTGCTCATTAGCAGCTCATATCAAGTACCCAAAGGAACACCTTAGATGTTTTTCCTTAGGCCCTTAAGCTATTTAAAAGAATACCTCCTAGGTGTGTTGTGGTCTGTTACAGGAATGTGTTTCTGATCATCTGAATCTTAATCATGTCCAACTGCCTGCAAAATTTCCTGAAAATTACACGCACTCATCTTCTGTGTTCAAGATTATGCCAGCAGTTAACAAGAAGTAAAAGGAAGTTTTTCGGAACTGTGCCAATGTCCAGATTGCATAGGCGAGTTGTCATTACAGGCATTGGCTTAGTGACTCCTCTTGGTGTTGGAACTCACCTGGTTTGGGATCGTCTTATGCGAGGAGAGAGTGGAATTGTTTCACTGGTCGGTGAAGAGTATAAGAGTCTCCCTTGCAGTGTTGCTGCTTATGTGCCAAGAGGTTGTGATGAAGGTCAGTTCAATGAACAAAACTTTGTGTCCAAAGCAGATATCAAGTCCATGTCTTCTCCCACCATCATGGCTATGGGGGCTGCAGAATTAGCCATGAAGGATTCCGGCTGGCATCCTCAGTCAGAAGCTGATCAAGTGGCTACTGGTGTTGCAATTGGCATGGGAATGATTCCTCTTGAAGTTGTTTCTGAAACTGCTTTGAATTTTCAGACAAAAGGTTACAATAAAGTTAGCCCATTTTTTGTCCCTAAGATTCTGGTCAATATGGCAGCAGGCCAGGTTAGCATTCGATATAAACTCAAGGGCCCCAATCATGCGGTGTCCACAGCCTGTACCACAGGAGCTCATGCTGTGGGAGACTCTTTCAGATTTGTAGCCCGTGGTGATGCTGATGTGATGGTGGCTGGAGGTACAGATTCTTGTATTAGCCCTTTATCTCTTGCTGGGTTTTCCAGAGCCAGGGCTCTGAGCACAAACTCAGATCCCAAGTTGGCATGTCGACCATTTCATCCAAAGAGAGATGGTTTTGTAATGGGAGAAGGTGCAGCTGTGCTGGTGCTGGAAGAATATGAACATGCTATTCAAAGAAGAGCCCGCATCTATGCAGAAGTTTTGGGCTATGGACTCTCAGGTGATGCTGGTCACATAACTGCCCCTGATCCTGAAGGAGAAGGTGCCTTAAGGTAAAGATGGGTTATTTCCTTCAAAATGAAAATATGTATCCAAATAAGACACTTCTAGGGAAAATTGTAGTATCTGGCCTTGATGTACAGTATCTCTATTGTTTTTCTCTTTTAGACTAAAGATTTTTAAATTCTTTGCTTAAGACATTTGAAGTATTTCAGAGCATTTGAATATCCTTACAAAAATTGCATTTGAATTAAACCTAATAGAGTTACAAAAAAAGACCATGTATGTCTTTGCCAATTTGTCATGCCTCCATCTGTACTTAAGCATCAGTGTGCTCCCTCACAAAGTCGTCCTCTTTGACCCTTCATCAGACTTGGAAAGTAAAGTCAACCCTTCTAGATGTGTGTGATCTTTGCCCCATTGCAACAGACTGTTCTTTTCAAGTCAGCACTTCTCAAACTATAATCACCTAGGGATATGATCTAAAATGCCAATTCTGATTCTGTAGGTCTAGGGTTGTGATTGAGATTCTGTTTTGTTTTGCGTTTTTAGAGACAGAGTCTCGCTGTGTTGCCCATGCTGGTCTTATTGCAGTCTCTAACTCCTGGGCTCAAGCAGTCCTCTCACCTCAGCCTCCTGAGTAGCTGGGACTACAGAAATGCACCACTGAGACCAGTTTATTTTTTTATTTTTTGTAGAGATGGGGGTCTCGCTTTATTTCCCAGGCTGGAAGATTCTGTAGTTCTAACATGCTCCCAGGTGATGGTGATCTTGCTGGTTTAAGGGCTATATTGAAGTTAACTGTTATAGATTAGTACACGTAAAATGGAAAAAAAAAAAAAAGTCCCTGGTAATGTGTTAATGGATAGTTAACAGTTTAACTTTCTTAAGTCATATTATGTTTTACGCAGTTAAATTAGCCAGAGTTAGCAACCTTTTCTGTAATGGGAAAAATATAGTAAATATTTTTGGCTTTGTGGACCATGGAGCCTATTGCAACTAATCAACTCTGCCATTGTCATGTGAAAGACAGACAATATGTAAATAAGGGGGCATGCATGTGTTCCAGTGAAACTACAAAAATAGGCATCTAGCTAGTGCCATAGTTTACCTACCCCTAAATTATACTTTTGAATTTTATTTTACTTTTTTTAAATTATTATTTTTTAATAGAGATGGGGGTCTTGCTATGTTGCCGGAGCTGTTCGCGAACTCCTGGCCTCAAGCAGTCCTCCTGCCTTGGCCTCTCAAAGTGCTGGGATTACAGGCATGAGTGACTATGCCTGGCCTGCTTTTGAATTATAGTGAGTAGCTGCTGGTGCTAAAAATGTCAAGCATAGTAACAAACTAGGTGAAATGGTTATGTTCACAGGAAATCTTTCAGCATACTTCAAATTATACTCTGAGCTGGCTGTTAATAAATATATATTTATATATACTATACACACACACACACACACACACACACATACATACATGTATATTTCTTTTAGGAACTAAGAGGAAGATGACATTCAAAAGGATTTCAGAGTTTCCTTCAGATATATTTTTTACTTTTAAGTTTGTTTGGCTTGGCTTGCGTTTGTAATTCTTTGTTTAGAACTCTTATAGCCAAAATGAAGAGGATTTTGAAAGGTTATTTGAAACACTGAAACAGTAGATTATTGGGAAACATGCCAAGTTTTAAATTAAATATGAAAGAAAAAATTAGAATTATAATTCTCATAAAAAGTTGCCATACTCAAAAAATCCCTAGAAGAAAAATTATCCTAGTCTTGAGTCAACATGGTTTTTTTCCCCCAAGGAAAAATGCCAATGCAAATAAATGAAGTTATATTTTATTTGAGATTAAACAATCTTGCATTGGCTTGTGTGTTTAACTCTTGGTGATGAAACAGTTTAAGGTAGTGAATGTGACTCATTATTCCTATGCAGATGGCATCCTAACTCACATGGTAATCCAAGATGGGGTTCTGTTACTAGAGCAAGGGTTTCTTTTCATCCAGTATGCTCAGATACCTACATTTGTTTCACATAAGCCATAAAGATAAAGAGACTTTTATTAAAATTAAACTTAGTCCTGATAAATGTCTTTTCTTGTTTTATTAGGTGTATGGCTGCTGCTTTAAAAGATGCAGGTGTACAACCTGAAGAGATATCCTATATCAATGCACATGCTACTTCCACACCATTGGGAGATGCTGCTGAAAACAAAGCTATCAAACATCTCTTCAAAGACCATGCATATGCCCTTGCAGTTTCCTCAACTAAGGGAGCAACAGGACACCTGCTGGGAGCTGCAGGGGCGGTGGAGGCAGCTTTCACCACACTGGCTTGTTATTATCAAAAACTACCACCTACTTTAAACCTGGATTGTACAGAACCAGAATTTGATCTCAACTATGTTCCACTAAAGGCACAGGATTGGAAAAGTGAGAAAAGATTTATTGGACTCAGCAACTCCTTTGGTTTTGGTGGTACTAATGCAACACTTTGTATTGCTGGAATGTAAAACAAATCATTTGTAATTAAATGTTGATTTTTAAATGTTATATGTGAAGAAATTATATATTTATACGTTGATACCCACATATCCTTTATGCTAGGGTTTCTCAACCTTGGCACTATTGATATTTGGGTACAGTAATTCTTTGTTGGGAGAAGGGAGATTGTACTGTACATTGTTAGGTGTTTAACACCATCCTGATCTCTTCCTAATCTAGTCCAATAGCACTCTCTTCCCCAATTGTGACAACCAAAAGTGATTCTAGACATTGCCAAATGTTTTCTGGGAGACAAAAATACCCCTCCCCCCGACCCATGAGAACCATGGACCTTCCTATTACTTTAGGTCAAAGAGTTTTCTATAACATTTGACCTGCTCCTGTCCCTTTCACAGACATTTAGTGACAAACTCCTCTTTGCTAGGCAGGATTGCTGTCCTATAGAACTCCAGGTGTGCCATTCCCATAGAATATATAGAAAGGACTATAACGAAGTTTGCATCAGCATTGTTTGAGTAAAACTGTCAGCCAGTAATGATCTAGTTACATCTTATATACCTAGCCCTCTTTTCTTCATATTATCCATATTGTAATTCAGTATAATGAAATTTCTCTAAACTCCCAAGCCATCAGTTCTCTGAAAGATGAAACTGAAATTGATTTGACATTTCGTATTTTTTTTGTCTTTATGTTGGCACCTAGTCATTAACAGAGATAAAAGTCAGAGAGAACCTTCCCACTGTGATCAAAGTCCCACAACTGGGAAGGAGAGAGGCACAGGAATGAAAGAGGATTGGGTAGGAGGGGTCTTAATCTGAACTACCATTCTAATAAAGTTTTGGCCAGCCTGATGAGTGGCAAAATCTTTTATTTTTTATTTTTTTTATTTTTTGAGGCAGAGTCTTGCTCTTGTCACCCAGGCTAGAGTGCAGCGGTGCAATCTTGGCTCACTGCAACCTCCACCTCCCAGGTTCAAGCAATTCTCCTGCCTCAGCATCCCAAGTAGCTGGGACTACAGGCGCTTGCCTGCCACCACATCTGGCTAATTTTTGCATTTTTAGTAGAGGTGGGGTTTCACCATGTTGGTCAGGCTGGGCTTGAACTCCTGAACTTCTCATCTGCCCGCCTCAGCCTCCCAAAGTGCTGGGATTACAGGCATGAGCCACCCCGCCTGGCTTAAAATCTATTAAAGGAGTTAACAGATCTCTCCGGAATGGGCCTGCATTAGGACCCATAACACGCTTCGTCATAGGCTGTGAGCTGTCCAGGCACAGCAGGAGATCTGAACTGTCCATTTCTCATGGCCATTATAAACTATCCCTTGCACCACAGAGATCTGTTTCTCCAAAGAGGTTCATGAAACAGCTCCTTCATGGTTCCTGTGGGCCTCTCTTTCTGAGGAAAAAATATATATATGAGGGTAGTTAGTAGGATAAATAACAGCCTCTAGGACTGCAGTTGGTCTCAGGTCCACAAATGCTATTCCCCTTCTCTCTAATCCACTATTCATTCTAAATTCCTTTTACCCTCGGCTGTCATCTTGTCAGGCCTTGGTGGCTTCCCTAGTGTTGTAACCCAAACCCTCATTCCTCAGGAATGTAAGTCCTTGGCAATCACACCATTCCCTTTTCAGACAGTGGCTGCTGCCTGTATCATAGAGCACTGAGATCAGGAGGCAAGGAAATGCCAGGAGATACCCACATAGATACCTAGATTCCACATATATTCTCCCTGTCCGAATTGTGTGAACACAACACTACCTTCTCCACCGGATTAGGGTCAACTATCACAGTTAGTATGTTGACTTTATGGTTCTTGGGCACAAGAACTTCAAAGTGTCCTAGTGGCACCTACATCTTATTCAATGTAGTACTTCTTGTGTCTCCTGGCAAGAGTGTGTATCCTTTGGAGACCAGGACTTCCAACTTAAATTATTTATTTATTTAGCTGAAATAAAATCTTATTTAGTTGCAATACATCTCTGCAATGCCCAGAACTGTAAAATGGGAAGCATGAAATTCCTTATTGTGATTGGATCACTAGAAATGACAGTAAGTGGGGCCACTCATGTTTCCCAACTCCCTTTGTTTCTGAACCTATATGTTCTTTTTATTGCAAACTTAATCCTATATAAAAGTTTTTGATGTAAGCACATGCTGCATCCTGAGGATGGTACCAGAATTGTCATTGAGCTGGTGATTCAGGTGTGCCTTTAGAAGGCACTTCCAGCATCTTTGAAGCTGCGTCTAGATGACATGATATGTGATACAAATTACGGAACCAAGGTCATAGGACCATTTTGTTTGCTGTACAATAGGTCCCCCTGCTCAGCTACTATGTCATAAGGGATTCCATGCCTGTGGATTATTTATTCCATAAGCTTGCAGATAGTGGTGCTGGCTGAGGCTCTGTGAGTAGGAAAGGCCAACCCACATCTGAAATAGGTATCTATACCCATGAAGATAAACCACAGGTACTTCCTTTTGAGGTCATTTGGACACTCAGAAGCAACAGTAGCAAGATATTGTTACTTACTATTGCTATGTCTTTCTGGATATAGCAAGTAACAATATCTTGTTATAGCAAGATATTGGAAAGTGGAAGTCCGTATTGTTGAGCCCACAGGTAACCTTCATTTTTCCCACTGTAGGCTCTTGATTCACATGCCTTTCATGCAAGTTATATGGTAGCCAGTGACAAAGGCTGGCTACTGTCAATTGGCAAAGTCATTTTGTCTGCTTGGCTCTTTAGTTCTTCTACCTGGATGGGTACTTTCTGGTAGGTATAAATGTGTGATGCAGAAGTCTTTACCCTTCAAAAAGGGTCTATATGTCCATTCACAGGCCTCTACTCAAGATATGGTTCTGCTCTTTCCATCCTTTTTTTTCTAGACTGCTGACTAAAGGCCAGGCCTTTGGACACTGCCCAGGAATTTATATATGTTCTTACTTCTTGAGCCACTTTTACTGTATGAAGTGAGTGACCAGATGAAGCTCTTCCTATTGAGAAGATTTTTCCTTCCCAATATCTTTCAAGGCCACATTCAGGGGTAGCCTGATTGTGGATGCAGCTGCCATTCATTTTCTACTTGAACTACTGTAAAACATGGTTTAGGAGGTAGAATCAGCAGGATATGGTAATTGATACCTTCACCTCCATCCCTCCCCAATTCCTTGCTTCTTAATCTTTCCTATTCTCCATCCCCACCCAGAATATAAATTCTACCAGAGGAGAGATTTTTGCTACCTCTTTCACTACTATAGTTCCTGTGTCTAGAACAGTACCTGGTGCAAACTTGGTCTCAATGAGCATTTGATGAACAATGAATGAATCTCAGTAAATTGTTCCACCAACCACCTATAGCTCAGATCACAAGACTAGTAAGAATCATCCTTGATTTCTCCCATTTCCTTTTTCCCTTTCCTAATCCTTCAACAAATCTAGCCAATTACATTTTCAAAATATGCCCTCACTGCTCTCCATTTCTACCACTGTTGTCCTTTCTTCCCTGAACTGCAAGGGCCAACTTTTTGGTCTTCCTGCTTCCCCTTTCCATTGCTTTCTAAGTATTATTCATTCTTGTAATAGCTGACAAATTGATCTTTTTACAGTGTAAATCGGATTGTGTCATTTCCCTACTGAAAAGCTTCTGATGGCTTCCCACTTGACTTAGGTTGAATTCAAACACCTTAACAAGGTCTATGAAACCTCACAGGTCTTCCCTTTTTAATCTTACCTATCTTACCTCATACTGCTCATGCTTAAACTGTGCTAGTGTATCAGCATGTGTATCCTCAAAAACACCAAGCTTATTTCTGCTCTTGTCTGAAATACTTTTCTCTTTATGTGAAAATTGGCTTCCTCTTTCTATTTGACTTTCAGTACAAATGTCTCTTCTTGAGAGAGGCCTTCCCTAGTTACCAATTCCAAAGTAACCCTTTTTCTTCTTTCCCAATCCTTCTCCACCCCACAGCCCAGTGGTGCTATTTTTTAAAATATATATTTTATTGTGTTTTAGGTTGTGGGGTACATGTGAAGAACATGCAAGATTGTTGCGTGGGTACATACATGGCAGTGTGGTTTGCTGCCTCCCTCCCCATCACCTATACCTGGCATTTCTCCCCATGTTATCCCTCCCCAACTCCGCACCCTTGCTATCCCTCCCCCACAGTGGTGTTATTGAACATCTCTTTGCTTTTCCAGAGTGGTGCAAAACGGGGGATTTGGGCTTGATAAGTAAGCCTGGATCTAAATCACTAACACAGCCTAATTTTTTTCATGAAAATAGATTCAATCTGTAAAATGGAGTCAGTATATTACCTGTTTAACAATGGTCTTGAGACTCAAATCTTGTTACTTAATATACTAATCTTCATATCTTTTTCACTATTAGAAATTACCTTGTAAAAATATATATTTATCTTTGGGGCTTTTTTCTTCCATCTGGTAGTATATAAGCTTCACGGCAGAGAGATCTTATCAACGTTGTGAACAAAAATGCTATTCCCATAACTCAGCAATGTGTGTAGCACACGCATGTGTACACATGTCACACAAGCACATATACCAACAAAAACAGGAAAATTTTTGTTCCAACAGTGACTGAAAATATCCGTGTTATAGGAAGGACAACAAAGAGGAGAAGTTCATTCATGGTTTTAGAAAAGTAAGAGAGCTGTCATTACCGTCAAGAGTGAGTGCAAGGGGTGGACTTTATAGCCATAATTGGTGGAGGCACTAATGCTCATTCTCTGTCTAGTTACTTGAGACTCATGTTAGATCTTTGATACTAAAGAGGAAAGGATGATGAGTATCTTGGTAATATCTTCAGAATTGCTTAGAACAAGCAACATATCTTGAATTCTAAGAGACTAAATACATTACCTTGAACAAAAATGCCTCTAGCTTAGGAATCAGCTAATTTTTTTTTTTTTTTTCTGTAAAGGGCCAGATGGTAAATATTTCTGGCTATGTGAGTCATATGGTCTCATCTGCATCTTCTCAACTCTGCCCTTAGAGTACAAAAGCAGCCGTAGGAAAAAAGTACA